AAAGAAAACCAGAAGCATAGAATCATGGAACACACCAACAGCTGTACAAGGGGAGAAAGAAGGTGGGGACTTTTTGAAAGGAGGTGAAAGGATTAGACAAAGAACATATATGAAGGGGCCACGGAAATGGACAATGGTATGGGTATTGACTATGGAAGTGGAGGGCGAGTAGGGTAGTGGGGAAGCAAAGGGGGGAAATTGGGACAACTAAAATAGCATAAACAATGAAACATTATTTTTTTAAAAAAGAAAGGGAGTAAAAATTCTTTAAAAAGGAAATCTAAATCAAAATCATTGGCAGGGCAGCCACTCAGAGCCAGTGGCACTGCTCCTGGGAGGGGTGTGGGGGAGCTGGTAAAGAAAACACTGAAGAATTGGAAATAATAAACAATAGATTTCTACTTACATATAAAGCACTACAAACGTATTTAAACACCCAGATATGTACTCTCGAGTTTGCTTTTACAATTCATGTTTAGTGAACATTTATATACCCACCACTGATGCTAGTTTAATCTAGGAAATATTCTGTTTATTTGCAAAGCTATATAAAAAAGGATCCCTTGGTACAAATCTAATCAATCTACAACTTGGAGAGCATGCATTATTCAAGCCCACATTAATAAAAAGTCTAATTGAAATGATTCTGTGTGCTCTCAAAAATGTATGGGTTGAATACATATGGGTTTGTTAGTTTACATATTTTTTCAAGATTGGTGCAGTGAATACCTGTCATGTATGACTGATAAACCACATGAAATGTTTTATAATTTAAGTGTGGCTTAGAATAATTTATATTTAAAAATAAATTTAAGAGAAAAGTATTTTTCTCCAAAAGTTTTAATTTACAATTAAATAAATAAATATATGGTAAAAAAGTTCATTGTTTGAAATGTTACTGTGGATTTTCAACAGCAAGACTGGCTATGAATATTCTGTCTATTCCATGACTATATTGATTATTAAGTTTTAGATTTGGTTCTTACAAAATAAAACTTAAGTATCTAGTTCTTATGACCTAATGGTGAAAGCTGGAATTCCCTCTATTTTTAATGTTTTGAGTAATGTTAATGTATCTGCCCTGTTGGAATTTCTAATAAAGTAAAAATATACCCAATTATTACTAGGCTTAATCAGTTTAATAGACTGTCATTGTAAACCAGTTCTTGGTTCCTTGCATTGTGTCTTTCACCAAGTGTATTCACAGCAAACATATGTGAAATTAATGAAAGGATACATGGATACTGGGTGAATGAATACAAATAAGCTGTACATTCAAAGGAAGGAATGCTATCATTATTACAATGCTTATGATGATGATGAACACAACTACTTCATATTTCTATAGTTCACAAAAGAAATATCCTAATTTATTTGAATAAAATACACTTTTTTTTTCTTATCAGTCAACCTGAGGCAGATCGTATGATTCCAAATTTTCTTTATTTGGTTAAATATTACAAGCCATATTCAGAATTTACAGAAGAAATAAAAATCATACCTTTTCCTAGAAATTTTCTACTTCTTGTCTTATATATCCTATCAAATACATTGGCAACTTTGTTTCTCTCTCTCCCTTTGAATGTTTCATTTTCTAGTATCTGAGGTTGGTGCAAATGTAACTCAGGACTGTAAATATGTTAACATTGCACAATAAAGGACTTATTGAAAAAAGATGAATCAATGGAAAATGGTAATATAAAAAGCACCAAATCACTGTTCAGAGGCCAGATATTTTATTTAAATTGACATATCTATGGGATACATAGTAAAACTAATGTTTTTACTTCCTAGAGGTAGGCAGATCAAAAAGACTCAAAGAAGAACAAGTACAGATGAGTGGTGCTGGCCACAATATTTCTATGAGGAGGAGGTCAGAATAATTTACCAGTCTTAACAACAGAGCTGTCTGGGTTGCAGTTTGGGGGTGTCTCATATCCTATTATATTACACTATCAAAATTGTAGAAATTGCAGATGATATGCCATTACCTTCTAGACAGACAAGCTACTAAATTATTTGTATGGGGAAGATGAGCCATTTACTTATCTTCCTGATATGAGCAGGAGATAGGTGGGGACTGTCTGGAAGACAGACAGTGGTGGGGACTGCTCTGTCTGGGTTGCAAAAATGCCACTCTTTGAGATGTTGTATTTGACACACTGATAGTGACAAACACGGTGAGCAATATGAAAAGTTTCCAATATGATAAATGATTGGAGAGGTGGTTGCACCTTGACTTCAAATGAACAAGTCAACAATCCATTGAAATGAGCAAGTTTTATGATCAACAAGAGCACTAAGTATAAAACAAGACTTTTTAAAATGATTCTCAAATATTTAGATCTATAAGGCTCATTAGAGGTGATATAGAGCAATCCTTTTGTCCCCTCAGCTGAAGATACTGAATCCACAGATGTTGAGAAGTGCACAAGATCATGCATTTAGTCATTAACTGAGAAGGAGTAGAACCTATCCTCCCAAAATGTTGGTAAGGTTGCATATGTGAACCATAGTGGGGAGAACAGAAAAAAACTACAAGTTGCATAAACTAGAAACAATCAAAACTGAGTTTATTATTGGTGTCTGAGCCTAGAAAATTATCTGGGTTCCTAGGCAAAAACTTGATCAGATTCTGGATTTTCACTATGTTCATTTTGCTGTAAATCCAAGTAGTATAATTTTCTCATGGCAGTTAAATTTTTGTATCTTTTTTAGCCTAATTAAAATCTGCAAGTATGGTAGGCAGTTAGACAGACATGAACAGAGCAGAAACAATAGACCAGGTATAGAAGGTCACCAGGGCAGAAAGCCATGGGTGTCCTAGCAATGGGCAAAACTGGGAAAACAAGGACCTCACCCCCAGGGTAACCTTTCCTCCTCTACCATATAACTGGTCATGGGGTTTAGACTCCTGACCATTCACACGGCTGGTAATTTGGTTCAGACCCTCCCCTGACCTTTCCTCCCTGGCATGCAGGTTAGACCCCCTTAGAGAGGGAATGAACAAGGGGCCCAGAGCATAGCCCTTAAGTGTTAAGCCCTCAGGACAATGAGATTCCGATCTACATCAAATACGTCTATGGCCTCAGTTGTATTTTAGCTCCAGGCCCAGAAAAACAGCAAAACTAGACAAACCATGCCATGGCTGACATTAGGACCAGCTGCATTGACTAATGACCCACCCTGCCGTGGCACCTACTGATCAGTAGAGACCATGAACCTAAAAGGACACACCTGGAAAGCTAATGAATATTCTACTGGGATTCTCCCGAGGCCTCCAATAAATATACTTAATGGGACTCAGCCGGGCTCTCTCTCTCACTTTCTCAAGCACACCCTTGCTTTTCCCCACTCCCTTCCCCCAGGAGTAGTTCCCTTGCCTTTCACTTTCTCTTAAATTCCAAGGGCCCTTCTTTTACCTCTGCAACTTCCTTCCTGAGCCCATTTGTTCTACAGCTCACTTTTTCTACCTCTGAGTGATTTTCTAAATAAACTCTCTCTTATTGTTTGAGTCTTTGCTCTAAATTCTTTCTTAGCCAGAACTCCAGTACCAAAGATGCTGAACCAAGGTTCAGTATTACTCCACCAGTCTAACACATGGTGCTATTTTCGGCACCTACATAAGTATGTATCTGCCTAAAAAAATGAAAAGTCAATGAAAAACACACTAGACAAAATTCTTTCCTACTTGAAATATTTATTCGAGGTTTGGGAGACTCTGGGGATGTATTACATAAAGCAATATATGCCACAAAAACCAATGCTGGATAAATTAACATACAAAAAGATGTATCCAAAAAGCCAACTCCTTCTGTGCCTAGGAAATCACACTCTCAGTATGGGTTAAACCTTATAATATAAACTATAACCTGGAATCAAAGAAATGGCATCAAAGTGTTATTATCTTTAAATCCTTGGAGGCATGTCTCTCTTCCAGGAAATATGGTATTATTATGAATCCTTTTGGGGTGCTATTTCCTTCTTGATTATGCCTCACTGAACCTACTGTATTACTCTGCTATCATACATTTGCTTCCTGACTTTCCTAATTTGTATTGATATCTAAATCAAATAATTCCACTTCAACTTCCCATTTCTCTGCATCTTCTTCTCATTCTTTTTTTAGGATTGGGCAGAAATTGCTCATTACTGCAAGAGAGAGGACAAATGGGAAATCTGAAAAGCACTCATATTTTTTCTCTAAAGGCCTATTCTTCCTGTTCTCTTTCCACTCTGCACACCCATAATAAAAAGCAAAACTCAAATTAGTAGCTATTTTTTGACAAATATTAGGGGGAAAAATAAAGGGAAAAGCAGGTAGATTGAGAGTAAATATTAGTAAAATGAGCAGTTAAACATATAAATGTAAAAAGAGAAAGATGAAGGCTAGAAAGAGATAAAAAACGATAAGGCAAAGATAGAAGAAATTGTGGGGAAAAAAGAAGACAGAGAAAGAGAAAGACAAGTGATGGCTCCTTTTAGTAATTCTTAAGCTACCTGTATTAAATTCTTAAAGCATCTATGAAAGCATGAAGAAAATTTAAATTTCTTAAATTCAAATTTCAAGTTCTTTAGGAAGATTGATAAAAATAGCCAAGTATATCTGTCTGTGAAGGGAACACACAGTACATTCTCACCAGTTCGTCATCCATTCACGTGCCCCTCTCTTTATTCATCTTCCATCTACTTGTCTATACCAGTGTATTATTTATGTAGGTGTCATTCCAGCTATGCATCCATCAAATACGTATGCAAAGCAGATACTGAGGGAAGACTATTTGAAACAAAGCAGAAATGCCTTTGCTACTTGGTGCATAAATGTAAAAGAATTAAAATAAAAGTCAAATTTAGAAGACCTTTGTAGAAACTGATGACCCTTAGTGAAATCTCAGTGCTAATTTTTTAAAATCTTAAATAATATTATTCTCAATGGTAGCAAGCCTTTTAGGAACTTCAGTGCCACTTAGTTCTGTTTTTTGTTTTGTTTTTATTTTCAGGAAGGCTACAGCCAGATTATATTACCTATCTTCAGGCTTTTGCGATGGATGCCTTGGTTATGAGAAAGATGTAAGTATAGCCTGAGGGTTTGCACAAAGGCAACTGGTGACTACGGAGGCAAGCTTGGGTGCGTTCAACCTTAGGATATTGTTGTTTATTGTTCATGTAGCACTCTTCATGACTTCGGTGCATGATTTCTATGCCTGATTTGCCCTGTCAGGTAAAATGATGAATTTGCATGCTAGGATCTGTAAATTGAGCATGACAGAAGCAATCCACAGTCCAGTGCCTACTAACCCAACTTCCCTTGTGGCTACTTATGTTATTTATTCTAATTCCAGGTCCGACTGTCATTCTGCAGGGACACCCATTCTAGTAACACTCTGCCAAGTCAGAAGCATCTTGTCTAGAAACATCTCAACAAGCTTTGTTACATTTTGTGTAGTATTTAAACATTCTATTATATAAACTCTGGTGGATAAAAAGGCAAACATCAGAACCTGATATAAACTTATTGGGTAGTAGCTTTTGAGGTAACCATCAAACTAAAATATTTGTCATAAAACTTCTTATAGACTAACTAGAGACAAATCATGGTCTCTAAGAAGTTTCTTAGAAGAAATCTTGAAGAAACAGACACCAAATACTATTAACATTTTCCTTTTTTACACTATCTGTGTCATTTAAAATTTAAATAAGTATATTATTTATAATTGGAAAATGTAATTTATATAAAATGTTACACTTGTAAAGTGGCAAAAGTTAGTGTAAGTAAATAAATGGATGAATGAGACATTTATCCAATACTGTTTGTTCTTCAAGTACAGAAAGAATGTTTGTTTTCTTCTTTGGGAGAAATTCACTAAACTAGAGAATTTATTTGAAATGGACAAACCTACAGTGTGCAACAGCAAAAATAAAATCTGAATGGAAAAAAATTTGTGGCATCCTTCCTTTTGTGGCATTTTATATTGAGGAGAAGCAGTGGGCATTAAATGGAGTTGTCTTGCCCAGGAATTTCATCACACCTGAATGACTAGTACAAGCTTTATATTTATGATTAACACATTGAGAAACATCATATCTTAACTATAGGCATGGTCAAAATAGGCATGTAATCCTTGTAGCCACCATATGTGATAGATATTATTCTCTCCATTTGATGAGCTCAGAGTGGTTGGTCAGATTGCACATGGTCTCACAGCCAGTTAAATGGCTGCATCTATCTGACTCCCAGATCAATGGTCTTTCAGTCACACCATGAGCATAATAACTGCATAAAAAGCATAACAACTGGCACTTGGCTTACTGATTTTTAGACACAATGACTATAAAGTGTAAATCCTTCTTTGCTGTAGTTGTAAATAGAGTCTTTCTCAGGGACAATTCCTCATTAAGTGTGTGGTCGAGTACCTACATAGAAATACTGTAGTCAGGAGACATACTTTCTATTCTCAGAGCTGCTGCTGAGTCATTGTGCAAAAATGGAAAAAGCACTTTGCCTTTCTTCCACATCAGTTTCCCCATCTGTACAGCTGAGATCATATTTGCCTTGTAGTTACCTAGGAGGGATGTTGGGAGCTCTAATGATTTACCATGTGTAAAGCTCTTCAAGTTTCTTAGATGACAGATGCTTTTAAGTACAAAGCTTTAGGTTATCATTGGCATTGTTACGAGACACAGTAAGAGCTTAACCACCAGCTGTTTGTTTAAGCACTTTCCCTCTGGACACCTCAGGCACAACGGAGGACAGGTGTGGACAAAGCATAGTTTTTCCAACCAAGTTTGGTGCAAAGGCACTTTAAAGTGATCTCAATGATCTTTCTCTTTAGTGACGAGGAATATCTCAGAGAGATAAAACACCTCTTCATGTAGGCTTTTTTTTTTTGTAGATCCATGCTAAAGAGCCCATTTGCATGCTGCAGTCTGTAGTTTTTACTTATCACGTCTCCCTTTTACAAATGAAAGTAAGTCATCTGATCCAATGTACACCTATGGGAAACTGCCCTGGTGACCTTAAGAAGTAAAAGCAACAGGTGGAATCAGCCCCTTCCATTCATTCTATCCTTTACAAATAGCACTAATAAAGACTGGAAGAATGAGCAATAGTTTCATTGTCATGCTGATGTCTTTGCAGGAGATTCTCCTGCCATCATTTAATTGCTCCATATTAATATATAAATACAGGGAGACAACCAAAGATAAGGAAGGTAGAGGAGCTGTGCTTATTATGTTAATTATTAATTACTAGGAATTTTCAACAGTGGGACATTAACCGCTTGACCTTTTAAAAAGTAATAAATACCAGACATATGTCTAATTAAGAAGCTGTAAATGCTTTGGAAGAGCTGAATAGAAGGAGAAAGGCACTTTATTTACAGACTATACTAAATGTAAGAGTCATTGGTACATTTAAAGCCAGCTCTTCCGGTATATATCTGTTCAGATTACCAGCCCTGGCTTCTCACAGAGGCTGGCACCAGGGAAAAGAGCTTGGATTCTCTAAGCAGCCTTCTTCAAAAACAGTCTCTTTAGTGGCAAATCTCACTTCCCACTCATTCCTGAATTTTCATTATGAGGACACTATTTTCATCACATTAAGACAATTTCTTTTGCTTATGTTGCTCACTTTCCATATAGCAGCTCAATCACAATTCTAGATAATAGGATTGCTAACATTCTTAATAGACTGTTGTGTCAAATAGAAGAACAGGATTGCTTTTGTGAGACCCTTGATTCTTGGCCCCCACCAAAGAAGGCTTAGTTAAATATTGAAGTGTGGAGAGGAGCTCATAAAAGGAAATTTCACATAAAGACCTCCAGTGTCATGTTATTCCAGTGGACTCTGGCAAAGCTGATGGACACTGCAGAGCAGAAGGATTAGTGTTAGAGGAAGCTCTTTCAACCTTCCTCCATTACCTGCTGGAATTCACCTCTAAAAGTTTCTGCTGGTTTATAAAATCTTTGTAGGATTATGAAATTAGCCTTCTTTTTTCTGATCTTGGCACAAACTTCCTTTGCTTTCTTCTATTTCTAGCTTCTATTTTGAAACACCCTCCTTAACAGCTTTTCAGACCAAAACTGTTCATAGCAAAATTCAGGTCACAGCAAAATGACACGTGATCAGAAAAGTGCACAATGGTTGTCATTTGGTCCATCAGGCAAATACTGTGCCAACTCCCTATCCAGGTCAGCTCTCCTCACTTCACTCCCCAACCCAAGCTGGGAAACCCTGCAGGAGAGATGGAGTTTTCTTAAGCCTTTCCTTCTGTGGTCTAATTCGTGCTTCTGAGCATGAGCAGCAAGTGTTTTATTTTGACTGTCTCAACTCATCATAGGACCTTTCCTTCTTGGGGCCCCTTCCCCTATAGCAGTTCTGTCTTTCTAGGTCTGTCAGGTTAAATGGCCGAGACTGTTATTACCAGGGCATCTGTTCTCCTGGATATTTTCCCATGGAAGAACTTAGACAGAACTTGGAAGAACTTGGACACAGGTAGAAGTCCCGATTTTTCATATGATTATACTACCCAACAGCCAGAATGGAGATGAAAACATTAAATGAGCAGGGAGACAAGGTGTTAGATTATATTAAGTTAAAGAGATAGACTCTCTAGGAAAAGTCACAGAGGATCTCTTGGCTCTGCTTGATGGGAACACCTTTAGGACATGCAATTCTAATATTCCAGGCTTCCATATTAAGGGTATTGAAAGTATTTGCCTTATTGATGACTGTTTCTACATCTGTGGTAATTCACTTGAACTCTCTCCCTCCTTTATTGGAAATGTTTTGAGAAACCAAGGACCTGTCTCAATGAGAAACAGGTTTTTAATGAGATAATAATCCACTGCTGAGTAAGAATTAAATAAGCATGACAGCAAGTTCCTAGTTTAGTCGCATCTATAGAAGTCACTTAACTATTTAAAATGTTTATAATCTATTTTGAGGTCACACAATTTAACATAATTCTACTTTCATTTCTACTCACCTTATACACATAATCCATTAAGCTGTTTTATAGAGGCTAAATATGAAAAACAGTGGTACTATAATACTTCTTAACCTGTTATAAATACCACAATATTTTATCAGGAATAAAGAACCAAATGCAAATTTCCATTCTCTGTGTATAACATGTATGATAATAAAGAATAAATCGGGAGAAAAAATCACCAGTTACATCACAATCTGGGCTTGGGTCCAAAGACGCAGTCACACCATCAAGAATCTAAGGAAAAAGTAGTTCCATTGTATATTAAAAAGTTATTTTTAATCTCAAAGAAAGCATAGGGAAATTTAATGTCTAATAATTTTTGGTCTTGTTTGAGATATAATTGACATATAACTTACATTATTATCTAATATTGTTATGAGAAGATAACTTTCTAAATATTACAGAAAATGAGCTGACCTTAAGAATCAGAGAAAAATGAAAGTCCTTTAATATTTGCAATGAGATGGAACAAACCCAGTGTGGACGGAAAGGGGCCACATACCAAACCTGACAAGCTCAAGGCAGGCCTACATAGTGGCCTAAGAAACTCAGAGACCTCACCTAACCACATAGGATGAGTTGAAATTAAAACTTATTAACTAAAAGCAGTTCATGGCAGATAGCCTTGTCATAGGCCAGTATTTTTCCCTAACAAAGGTTAATCTTTACCTTAACTGGGCCTGTCGTGTTTTTGCATCTATGATATCACACCTCTGGATGTCAAGTTCCCTTTTTCTGGACCCTTCAAAGTATAGGCATACCACCAGAGGAGACCACAAATCCCCTCATTGTTATTGTTATGTTAATTGTTAACTGTTAACTATCCTATAACTACCTGAGTAAAAGTATGTGTTTATCATTTTACCTTTTATCCAATCTGAGTGCCCCCACCCACTTTGCTTTCTCCTGCCTCCCTAATCTACCATCAATGGATTTTATGTAACCCCCTTACACCTCCTCTTCAATTGAAATGAATAAAATAAGGTGCTAAACTGTCATTCTCTGGAGCATTTTGCAGTTCCTTGAGATTTTGCTTTCAAACCATTGTCATCAGTTTGGCTCAAAGAAACTCACCCAAAATTCTCTAAATGTTCAAGTGTTTCTTATCTTGACACTGGGAACAAATCTCAGTTGCAGGTACTTAATAAAGTGTTGCTGAGAAAGTAGAAATTTACTCCTTGAATTTAATACACAATTTTTCCATGTAGCACATAGGAAAAACTAAAGTAGCTGAATTCTCAGGGGTTGTTTATCATTAGCACTTAACTACAGTAGTAATTCTCAAAATGTGGTTCCCTGAACCAGCTGCTCAGGGTTCACCTGGGAACTTATGAGAAATACAAATTATTGGGCTCCACCCAGAGTTACTGAATCAGAAACACTGGTGATGTGGTCCAGCAAGCTGTGTTTTCAACACAAGCAGGTGATTCTCATGTGGGCTAAAGTCTGGGAATCACTGGTCTGTAGTGATTCAGTTATACTAGGGCTATCTCACTATAGCCATTAATTACTAAAAAAAAAATCTCAAATTAGTCATGCCTTTTTGTGAGGAAAAACATACCGTAAAGGAAACACTTCCTCATTTATGTTGTGTTAGGCAATGTTGTATTCTTTACAGATATTCTATATAATCCTTAAAATATTTACACAAGAACTTCAAATGCTCTTCCCATGTGTTC